CCACACCCAGTCAGACAGCAGTCAACAAGTTAGCAGAACGTCATAGGTTAAGATTATCCATTTTCAATGAATTATTTGTCTGTGTCTGGGGTTGATTCACAGTCATATAACATCTGACTTTATCAACGTCGGATAACGAACTCAGAGTTAGGAATGCCTATTACCCTTTTTGGAGGCAAAGACAAACTATGTTTTCCCTTTCCTGATGTGAATGACTCCATCTTTACACCAGCTCCCATTCTATCGGAAAGTGAGTATCACACTGTTGGTCACAGACTGGAGATGATGACTATTGAAGTTCAGAGCCAGCTGACTGAAGGGGGTCAGTTATAGCCTTCCCATTTTGGAGAGATGCAAAGAAAGCTAAGCCTAGACTAGACTCGTGAGCTAGCTTTGGTCCTGTGCGCTGGCACAGCCCCTCAGGGATGGATCCTTCCCCTGCCCCAGAAATGGCAGCTATGGAGTGGCAATGAGACAGTCAGCCCAAGGAGTGACAACAGCCACAGGAAGTCATAGGGCAGCAAGATTTCCTCGACCCTGGCATGAAAAGAGGCGCAGAGGCATGCTGTAGTTACAAATGTTCTAACCCAGGGGGGTCAAAATCAAACAGAAACCTGGACCCCCGCAGTGGCATACTGACTTAAAAAAACCACAAATCAGTGTTATCTATGTTGCATTTTGTTTTTATTTATTTTGTTAAGTATTTCCCCATTATATTTTCATCTGCTTTTACACTGGGAAACTTTGCAGCCACAATGGTGAGTCTAACACTTCTGCAAAACTAGGTTGCTGCTGGGAACGATGGAGCCACATACTTAGTCTCTTGGATAGAGAAGGGTCAATTTCCTGGACAATGTCCAGCTCTTCAAGAGTTCTGCGACCTAGTCTCCTAGATGGAGAAGAAGCAGTTTCTTGGACAAATTTTGATCTCCTCAATAGTTCAGGGACCCAGTTGTTTTGGAGAAAAGGGAAGAGTTCCTAGGTAGTGCCACACTCTTGGAGAGAAAGCCCTAGTTCTGGAGGAACAGCAAGGGACTAAGTCATGATATGGAAGGGGAAAAAATGGACTTCACCCTCTGAAGTTGTCCTGGGTAATCTGGATGGTGTAGGTCCACTGGGAAATATGGTGGAGTGCTTCGATTCTGAAATGAGTACTTTTCCCTGTACTCACCTGTAAAATGAAGGAGTTGTACTAGATGTGCTCTAATGACCCTTCCAGCTCTACATCAATGTTCCCTGTGGGTCCACAGAACTCTCTCTCCCCCTAGACAGGCACCTGTCTAGCACCTTGTGCACCGTCTGCAGTCACGGGGTGCTTTAAAGCACCGGGTGAGCTTCTCCACACCCACCACCCACTGCCTCATCATATCCTTGCCATCAACACCAGTTCAACCGACACGGGCTCTGGAGTTCATCCAGCTTTGCCCTCCCATTTTAAAGATGGGGAAGCTGAGTCCCACAGAGGGGGGTGACCTGAATTAGCTAGTGAATTTTCAATGAACTCATAGAGGGAAACACAATAGATTGCATAATTGAAAAGAAACATTTAAAGGCAAATACTTTAAAAATAAGTTTATTGTAACTAAACAATATAAAATCTGACAGATGTTTCAAAATATTCTTGCAAAAGAAGTAAACCCTGTCCCCCACCCCATCCCATCTTGTCTCAACTGATATATAGGATGAACTTGTTCAGAGTCATGACAACAACAAAAAATAATCAGCTTCTATTTGGTCGAACTCAGAGCACTTCAAAACTTTGATGTTCTAGGCAAAGTTCAGTAAAAGGGACTAAGGGAGAGAAATCAACAAACTATTTTATGTTACATCCTCTACGTTTATCCTCTTTTCTGTCTGTTCAACATTCTGCCTCTAAATGAGAGACCACCTAGGAGGCGAAAAAGTTCAACTATGAAACCGCAGAAGCTGAAGAGAGAAATACAAGACACGAAGCTGACCATTTACTTAAAAAACAAATGCAGGGAAATATCACTATGTACATTTTAGCCTTTGGCATATATTCTACCAAGTCCCTCCCCCTCCCCTTTATATACACCACTCCACCCATTCACTTGTTTACATTTACTTTAGCAATATATTTTTCTCCCGACAGACACTGATTGTCTGTGGCCAATTTCAAAATGAGGTAGATGGGCTGTCTGATGACATCCTACCGAAATTCCCACGTGGGCTACAGGAAACACGCATCAAACCGGCCTGGAAATTGGCACATCAGCTCTCTAGGAGCCAAGGAAGTCTATATGACGCCATCTCGTGCCTCATCACCCCGGGAGACATGAGTCAAAACACATGTATATACAGAGGTTTGTGTGGATTCGTGTGCCTGGTAAAATCTGTCGTGGTTAAGAAAAGTGGGACAAATACTGAACAAAATTTGTAAGAGCATGAGATGTGCTTAGAATAGGGAGGAAAGAGTCTCCAACTCGATCCCCAGGCGTTTTCTGACAGCTCTAGCTCAGACTTCTTCCCCATCACAGAAGGGATGGCATCACGGGGCAAAGGCGATTGCCCCACTGTGGAAACTTGACTTTCCCATTTCAGGGGAGCACCTGGCTTCTTTTTTAAACCAAGGGGCTGGATGAGAAGAGCACGGAAGAAGGAATCAATACATGCTTCAGAACTTAGCAGACTGGTCTATAAAATGCTCATTCAAACATGCGCCAGATTGCCTTACTAGGTCAATGAGGAGCTGTTACCATCAGAACATGCAAATGGACAGAATATGCAGACACAGTGGGCTGGATATCTGAGAAGATGGAAATCAGCACCTTGGAAGAAGAGAATGCTTACGAACTAGCAAAGGGCCCCAATATATTGGAGTGAACCTACAAATGCCATTAAATGGCTGTGCTAGGGGAAATATGCATTTAAACCCCAAATAAGCAATTAGCAGATGAGAGAGACAGCCCAGAGACTGAGCTGGTTTCTCAACAGTGCCCAGCATAGACATAACACACAGATGGGCTAGCTGCAAGCTGAGGACACGTTGCTGTCTATCTACGCAAGGGTTCTTAACCTGAGGGCATGAATTTGATTTTTTTAACACCTAGATATATTGTTGCATTTCTATATAACTGGCTTTCTTGTAAATCCTATATATTTTTATCTGATGCATTTAGAAAAATTACTCTGAGAAGCAGTCTATAGGCTTTAGCCAGACTGCCAAAGGAGTCTATGACACACACAAAAAAATTGAGAGCCCAAGGTCTCCAGTGTCATACATAGTTAATGTCAATTAGCTACAACCAATTCTATATCTCTTTAAAAAAATCTAAATTTTAAATAGTAATCCAATCAATAATGGATCTTAGCCTCCTTATTTGTAAAAGGAGGGAGTTGGACAATATAACCTCTAAAGTTTCCTTCCAGCTCATACTCGGTTTAATTAATTTTTAAAATAAGGACTAATCTTGAGGAGAAACCCCCCAACCACTCCAAGTGGCTTTAAAAACTTATGAGTAATATTTAAAGGGACTGCTTTTGATATCTTTCAGAAAGACACTGAAATCCACTTAACTGACTTGTGTGAGGATGCTATAATTCAGCTTAGGAGAGCCCATGTTCATCCAAGATGCTGTCTTCTCTCTACGAGCCCCCAGTGGTGGCAGTCACAATAAAGTATCAGTACATTCCCAGAAGCTGAAGGTTCCCAAAATGCTTCAGGCAGTTCTCTTCGCTGCTTGTGATCCTGTGAAAACCTGATGTCTCCCAGCCATTTGGTACTGGTCTAATCTTCCCCTCAGCTGGAAGCTCGGACCAAAGCTGTTTTTCACTTCCATTAACATGGGTAAACCTCAATACAGCCTTTACCCTTTGTTCTAAGTGATCGTTTCCCCCTTTCACCTCTGAAGATGCTGCATTGAACGCTGGTAGTTGAAAACATTCTCTCGGGTTGGATTTTTGGAAATCCCTTGGGAGAGAACTGGCAAGCGATGTGAGAAAATGAGTTTTAATTTTCTCATCACCTCTTGAATCTTACTACCAATGGTATTACCAAGGAAATCTAACTTATTTACCAGATGTAGCTCTGAATGACTTCTGGCTATTTCCAATAATAAAGTCCGTCCTTCAAGGACTACTGAGGCCGTAAGGACGGGATGCAGGTGCTAAAGATCTGAATAGTTCTTGAAACATTTTGAGGAGCAGTAGTTCTGATGATACAAAGGGATCATTGCCCCAAAATGGTGGCTCTGGAGAGCCAGTCCCATGATTGTCATGACGGTGGAATGATGGTCGTTAGCCATCACTCTCTTAAACTGGCACTCTCAAAATAAGAAAATAGAAGCCAAGTCCAAGAAGATGACTACACTAGCCTGACCGTATACGCTCCAGTATGTTTGGGAAAACATGAATCACAGGACTTAACGAGATCAATGCGTCACGTAAACTGGTGAAAGGCAGTCTGGGAAGCTGAGGCTCGGTCAGAGGACAAGAAGTCTGGTGGGGCCAGGAGAGGGAGAAGTAGCATAGTTGGTTACTCTCTTCTGGTTAGTGACTTCTCTCTCACTCTCTAAGGTAGTGACAATAAACATTATAGAAGGTCGACTGTGCCCCAACTAAAGCTGAGAATTTAACAATGAAGCCTTACAGATTCATACATACATACATACCTATTATACACATATATGTATGTATATATATATTTAAAGAGAGAAGAGAGTCAGGCCTTTCTCCAGCTGAAGTTAGACAGAACTTTGGGTACTTCTAAAGATGATTCTCATCCAGGGAGTCCTGAGATTCATTCAACCCTCCCTCATGCTGGTGAGGAAAACAGATCACAGGTTTGGAGCTAGGAAGGAATTTAGAGATTACTTAGCTCAACCCTCTCCCTTTACATGAGCAAACTGAGATACTCAGAGGTGGAGTGACTGGCTCAGGGTCACACAGCTAGTGAGTGGCAGACCCAGGGCTTGAACTCAGCTCCTTGGAGCACTGAACGCTCTGCACACCCACCACACCAGGCTGCCTCGGTGGGTGGGTGGGTGGGTCTATTTCCCTCATTTTATAGAGAACAGAAATGAGACTCAGCAAAGGGATATGACTACTGAAGCCCCCGGCAGCCTCAATTCCTGGTCTTCAGTGCTCACATCAAGCCCCCTCCACTTGGACAGAGAACAGAGCCCGGTGCTCGAAGGCAGCACACACAAAGAGTCCAAAGAGCCCAGCCCCAGAAGAGCCTGAGCTGCGACCAAGCCCAGCCTCAGGCGTGGCCCCCCCATGCACCGGCAGAGCGTGAACGGACAGTTTTGTTCCGGAATGAGAACGGGCTGACGTCAGGATGCTCGCAGAAATCATCCTCCTCTCCTTCATCTTTCTCTATCAATAAAACACGCTTCCAGCTTCAGAAAAGGAGAAGCCAAGATCTGAGACTCCCTCAGTGGGGAAAGGCACAGATGGGAAGCCCAAATTCCTCCTCCGTCCCCGCGTCCGCTGCCAGCCTTGTGACCTCTCTGCCTATCCCCAGGAAGGACGTGCAGGCAGGGCTGCTCCCAGGGTCCGTGGCTCCAACACAACATGGCTTAGTGCCTGCTGTCTCTACTTCCCCTAAAAAGCCCGCAGCTTCTCTTCGGCATTCAGTGCTTGACTGGGAACAGGAGCTGAGTTCTTTTAAACTGAATTCATACTTGTTTGCTTAGAAATCCCCACCCGCCCACCCCGAGGGGGATGATGTCCTTCTGCAGGAAGCTCTGGGAGAAAAGGAGGGCTCTGTGTATGTGTCTCGGGGGAGGCTTATGTCTCCCTGGGAGGTCTGTCCTGGTAGCTGCGAGGTCACTGTCCCCAAGCTGCCTCTGTGATGCTCACCTGCACACAAGCCAGACGGGAAACGCAGAAATTGGGGAGCACGCCTGCGAGGGAATGATCCTGAGAGAGCAGGTCTCCAGTTAGAAGATGCATTCTAAGCATCGCCTCCACCTGCCTCAGCTTCTTCCACTGTAAATGGACATGGCACCTACATTACTCCAGGAGAAAGCTGGGGAAGCCCTCTGTCGTGGGAGAGCGCTACAAGAAGGTGAGCTGTGATGACTGCCGTGGTTATTCCCGTCTCTTCCTGACCTCCCCTGTGATAGGACCAGGTGGGGTTGGTGATCTGGAGAGGAAGGGGCTGTCCTCTGGGGGCCAACCCCCAGACACGCGGAGGATGTTCTGGGCAGCAGCCAAAGGAAAGAAGAGCAGAGAAGGTAAAATAGGAGGACAGAACAAAGGGGGATGGGTTAGGGGGATTAGCGTCCGTTTCCAATCATCTCAAAAACATTGTCGGCTGAAGTCTGCGACAGGCCCAAACGGCCCCTGCAGACATTAATCCTTGTCCAAGAACTCACGCCCAGTTTGGCCTCTGAGAGGAGAGCGAGGCCCGACCTCCCTGGCCGCGTGTGGGGTCAGAGCACACACCAGGGCCCCCTGGACAACCTGGTGCCTGACGGGCCCTCAGAACCGGGACATAGCACCTGGGTCCTCACACACACAGATGTGCAGAAACTGGGAGCTTTGACCCAGAAGAGCAGAGGCTCCGTCTGGCCCCCTCACTGTCCCAGGGGAAGGCAGGGGGAGGAAGGAGGAGGCTGACGGAAGCGAGCCTTGGAAAGCCAAGATCGGATCCCGAGTCATTCCCTGAAGTCGTGACGAGGCACTGGTCCACGGCGGTCAGACCACTTCATCGGACTCCAGCCCGTGGGCTTCATACAGGCTGTCCAGGACGTCCAGCTGCTTCTCCATGGCTGGCAGGTAAAGGTTCAGGTCCCTCTGCATTCCGAGGCTGAAGGCCTCTTTGTGATGGTCCCCTTGCCTGATGGTCAGCGCCGCCACGAAATCTTCATAGGATGGAGCTGCCCTTAGCGCTAGCTGGAAGATAAAGGACTGTGAACATGTGCTCCCCCAAGGCACACACTCACACACACACACACACACACACACACAGATACATACACACTCACACTCAGACACATACAAGAGACACATATACATACAGATGTAGACAGCCACACCCACAAAGACACACGCACAGACATGCACACAGAGACATACACTCATGCACACACACATACACACATTTACACACACACATACACAGATACATACATACGCTCAGACACACTCACGCAGAGACACATACAGATACATACAGACGCAGACAGCCACACCCACAAAGACACACGCACAGACATGCATACAGAGACATACACTCATGCATACACACACATACAGATACATACACACACTCAGACACACTCACACAGATATACATACAGATACATACAGACACAGACAGCCACACCCACAAAGACACACGCACAGACATGCACAGAGACGTACACTCATGCACACACACACATTTACACACACACATACACAGATACATACATACTCACTCAGACACACTCACACAGAGACACATACAGATACATACAGACGC